CCGGCTTCCTCCCACAGTCCAAAGACATGCAGTTAGTGGGGTTAGGCTAAATTGCCCATCGGTGACATTGTGAGGTTGTCTATCTCTCTTCGTTAACCCTGATAGACTGGTGACCTGTCCAGGCTGTACCCTGTCTCTCGACAGCTGGGATAGGCACTCATAACACCGTTTAATATGTCGTGTTCAGTAAACCTATTTGAAATTATTTTAGCTTTGCGGCATGGCGAGTTATCCTGCTGGAAGTAGCCATCGAAAGACCGGGGACACAGTGGCCATAAGAAGACGGAAAGTTCAATAGCACTACTCTCGTAGGTTATTCCATTAAAATTAATTAAGTATGCCCGGCCAGCGTTTTTCTGATCTTCTGTTGTGCAGTTAAGTTAAACCCTGCTTCACAATCACTTATCACCTTTCGTTGCCCGTTCTGATTCTCAATTTGAACAGCAGTTCGTCTTGACAATGTCTACATGACAAAATGCCGAATTGCTGCTATATTAGATATGCTATAAACTGTTTATATAACAGTTTAACAGCTGTATCTAGTGGCCGGTGAGTGCGCACTTAGTTGTCTACTGTATACGGACCAATAACATTGAAATGGACCGATTCAGCTTTAGTTAGCAGAGGGCAGCAGCGAGCTTCGAAGACTGAAACTTGCAAAAAGGCAAATAAAGAACCTGACGTTGATGTTCCCCTTTCCAGCAGTGCATGATGGTCCGTATACCGGTATTAACTGCTGTGAGTCCTGTTGTTTTCCCCTCGTTTCCTTTAGTGCTACTGTGATTATGAAGAAAAGACACACCGTCCGCTTTATTTTACATGACAGGTAGGTGTCCAAATGAAGCCTCTCGGTCCCCTGTCATTCCTGGCTTTCTTTGGTGTTTTTATGTTGCCTGTTGGGGTAGCTTATCCGGCTAACTTGCTACCATTGGCTAGTCTACGTGTAACTGCCGTTGACAACATTAGCTGTAGCGTTAGCTCTAGCATGTAGCTAATAAGGCCGCGAATATTCTGCAGCACATCAGCCCCTGACAACAAAACTGCATTTAGTTTTGTGTGTTTCATGTTGCTGTTAGGCATTGACTTCACTGTCAGCGTGAACGGTTGTAATGCAAACACCTGCCAGCAATGCGTGCACTGTAGCTAGGCTAAGGCTAGCTGCCTAGCTTCTGTTACATCTACTTGTCCCGATGGGAGGCACAGCAACGATGACAGCCGAAAGCATAAACATTTTAATATCAAACATTAAATGAGTACAAGTGACACCTGTTTTTTCTCCGCTCAGAAATAATCACGATATGTTTTATTCGGCGAGGAAATTTATAGTATAATTTATTAATGGTGCTAATTACTAAAAGAAAATGCCATTAAGGCCATGCTTATTTCTTAGCACAATTTCCGGAATATATTAGGGTTTCTGATTTACATTATAAGGCAACGTTTATGTCTGAAAATAATAAGTTCTCGCTGAGTAGACCATAATGTGATGGAAACAAGTAGAATCGAGTTCAGTACAGCGGCTCCCCTTGGTATTGTGCTTTCACTTTTGGTGATACCGAGAAAAGGATTAAAAGCTTGATTAATTAATAAGATCCTAATATAGGATGGTGCATACTGTTTTTTTTAAACAAGTATTCTTTGTCCATACATGCCGTCCAAAACTATTCCTGAATAATTTGGATTTCTAAGAATCGGTCAATAATTTTTCTTTGGACTTAACACGTCAACATAGAAATATAACTGAGCTTTGATGATCCCAGCAAGAATATCTCTGTGCAGTTATGCTCTTGTTTTACTGTAATTTGCTGATGATTTATTGTTTTTGAGTATTTTACAACGGTTTTCTAGGGGCAGATGAAAATAAATGAGGAAGGTGTTATAAGCTGCTTCTGCTTGTTTTTTCTTTTTCTTTTATGATTGGGATTCAGTGTTACTGCTTGACATATCTTATATGTCATATAGTGAAGAACTAGCCAGTTATATAACTGATGTACCTGCATAAATAAATTCAAATAATACTTATTTTAATCTCTGGCACCATATTACTGCCATTCCTTCCTATTCCTTCAAAGCAGTCTGTCTTCAAAAAGATGAATCGGACAATCATTCCTATTTTTAGCTCCATGCAGTTGCAGTGGGTGGTAGAAAATTGACGGGCCAAGGATCCAAGATAGTTGTGAGAGCTTGAATCTGTGACAAGTCTGAAGTTTTATGTGTTAAGATGGTTCTTAATATTTTGAAAACATTTTTTTAAAATGTAAAAGCAATATGAAGGAGCTAAAAACGGTTCTGATAATAATGGGGAGCGCGTAGATCTATAATCCTCTCATTTGTGTGATGGGATTAACAGCAGAGGGTCATACACCTCCACAGTTTGAGCAGTCAGATTACAACTGACTGTTAGCACAGCAACATATATCATTGGTTTACAGCTGTCATTTAACCAGCAGTTTTCTTTCAGTTGTTAACCACCAGGGCTGTGAAATGGAGCCAATGTAAAACTCTAAAAAAATGCAGTTCTTCCATGGCCAAGTCAGCTTTGGTCCAAACTTTACAGGGTGGTACACAAAACTGACCCTATAGGTAGTTTCTCCTTGTATAACAATTGTAAGACGGCCGAAAAGCAGCACAGGTCTGTTGACCCAGGCAGGTGGAGCTGGGTACCTTTTCCAGTTGAATCAGCAGAGCATCAAATATGAAACATGTGGTCAAAGTTTAGATGCATCTTGTGTTTGATCAGGTGTTGCCGCCTTCGTCAGCTTTTTGTCAGCTTGCATTTTTCGCTACAGATGCTGCAGAAAATGTCTGCATTAAGTTTCAAAGAATTTAAGCACATCTGAAAGCACTTTCAACACGTCGCAGATGTATGTAAGCTCACTGACTGGAGGTTGATAGGCCTTAAATTTGTCACTTAACCAAAGGACTTTTCCTTATTTGTGTTGTTTGTGTATTTGGAGCATTTTTAATGAAATGATCGATGTTCGATATGTTATACAGTACATCAGAGAGCTACAAAAAGTCTTTTACTTTTTATTTA